GGGTCTCTGTGTTGAGTTATTGGTGACCAGGTTGAGACAATCAACTCGCTGAGATTAGATTTTTTTTTAAATGTATCACAATAAAGACAAAGATCCCCCGTATAGCCATTAATAGACTGTTGGGGCAAGTGCTGGTAACGAGCGCCATTGAAAGGCCTGCACTGTGGCAGACGAAGGGGTGGGTGGCCAGCACCACGCCCGTCCGCCTTTGTCTCTCCAGTGGCGATGTTTACTACACGCATTGACATCACCACGACGCCTGTGCCAGGCTAGGTGCACGTTGAGGCCACGTGAAATGTCAGAGCCCCCTGCTGGCAGGAGGAGGTCACGGGGCAGACCCAGGTGCCACGGGTCGACTGACCAACTTGCTGTGTTTTAGCCACCCGGCGCTCCGCTCGTTGTTGTGAGCGTCGCTCCTCCGCCCTCCGTTGTTGTTGGAGGGCGACTGCCTCCAACTGCCCAGTAGCGTCCTTCACGAGCCTCCTCCAGAGGCCGATCTTGACACCGCTGGTACCAGTCATCGGCAAGTCCACTCAGCTCCACGTCCTCCTGTACACATCACTCCATCTCTTCTCTAGCCCGTGCCGCGCCCGCTTAGCCGCCTCGATCTGGCTGAACAAAAGCTGTTTCGGCATGCGGTGGCTGGGCATGTGGGCTACATGACCCAGCCATCGCAGCCTTGCCTGCCGGAGGAGCTCACCGATGGGACCTTGCCCAGATCTTTCAAGGATTTGTGAGCTCCTCACACAATCCAGCCTGGTTAAACCCAGGATGGATCGTAGGCAGGCCAGCCTAAATGTTTCTAACCGGCGAAGATGTTCCATTTGGGGGGTCCACGTTTCGCAAGCGTAGAGAGGAGAGGGAATGACCGTGGCCGAGAAGACCTGAAGCTTAGTGCGGAGCGACAGACCAGGTAGCTTCCACACAGCGTTACGCAACCGATGAAAAGATATTGCCGCTCGACTGATTCGGAGTGAGACCTCTGCTGTTAAACTGGAGCCAGTCATAAGCACTGCCCAGGTATGGGAAACTCTCCACTCTCTCCACAACTGCCCCATCACCGATTGGGAGTTTTTGGGGTGGAGTGTCCGATGGTGCAAAATACCCAGGCAGGTGCTTAGTTTTGGTGGGGCTGATGGTAAGGCCCCACCTCTTAGTGGCACGCTCCAGTCTCAGCAGCAGCGTCTCCAACTCCTCCTCTGAATGAGCAGCTATTACCAAATCATCGGCATACATAACGTGGTTGAGCAATAGGGAGCCATCCCTTGACCGCATCGATCAGCGATCAACACACACCCACAAACACACACAGGTACACACCTACCCACTCACACACCCACACTGGTACACACACTCACACACCGGTACACACCCACACACACACACCCACACTGGTACACACCCACACACACACACCCACACTGGTACACACCCACACACACACACCCACACTGGTACACACCCACACACACCCACCCACCCACACTGGTACACACCCACCCTACACACACACCCACACTGGTACACACCCACCCTACACACACACCCTGGTACACACCCACCCTACACACACACCCACACACACTGGTACACACCCACACTCACACTGGTACACACCCACACTGGTACACACCCACACACTCAAAACGGGAGCGATGTTGTTAAATTTATTTTTTATTTTTTTCTATTCGACTAACGAACCACCACCACTACCACCGCCGCCTGTGTTACAACCATCAACAGCAACACCCCCACAGCAACACCCCCACAGCACCACGACAGCAGGTCGCCGTCTCCGTCACGTGGTCACCGGTGCTGGGTGTCCTTCCTCTCAACAAGGAACCACAAACGAAACGCAGCAGCTGCAACAGCTGCAACAGCCGCAACAGCTGCAACAGCCGCAACAGCTGCAACAGCCGCAACAGCTGCAACATCAGCAACAGCTGCAACATCAGCAACATCAGCAACAGCTGCAACAGCCGCAACAGCTGCAACATCAGCAACAGCCGCAACAGCCAGCAGCTGCAACATCAGCAACAGCTGCAACAGCCGCAACAGCCAGCAGCTGCAACAATAGCAACAACAGCTGCAGCTGTTGTTGCTGCAGCTGTTGTTGCTGCAGCTGCAACAGCTGCAGCAGGCAGCAGCGACTCCGGCCCAATGCTGGAGGCAACGCTGACTGTGTCACAAATCAGCTGGTAGCCAGCTGAGTCAGGGTGCCATCAGCTGTTTCACAAATCAGCTGGTAGCCAGCTGAGTCAGGGTGCCATCAGCTGCGTCACAAATCAACTGATAACCAGCTGAGTCAGGGTGTCATCAGCTGCGTCCCAAATCAGCTGATAGACAGCTGAGTCAGGGTGTCATCAGCTGTGTCACAAATCAGCTGATAGACAGCTGAGTCAGGGTGTCATCAGCTGAGTCACAAATCAGCTGGTAGCCAGCTGAGTCAGGGTGTCATCAGCTGTTTCACAAATCAGCCGATAGCCAGCTGAGTCAGGGTGTCATCAGCTGCGTCACAAATCAGCTGATAGACAGCTGAGTCAGGGTGTCATCAGCTGCGTCACAAATCAGCTGATAGCCAGCTGAGTCAGGGTGTCATCAGCTGAGTCACAAATCAGCTGGTAGCCAGCTGAGTCAGGGTGTCATCAGCTGTTTCACAAATCAGCTGGTAGCCAGCTGAGTCAGGGTGTCATCAGCTGCGTCACAAATCAGCTGGTAGCCAGCTGAGTCAGGGTGTCATCAGCTGGTTCACAAATCAGCTGATAGCCAGCTGAGTCAGGGTGCCATCAGCTGCGTCACAAATCAACTGGTAGCCAGCTGAGTCAGGGTGTCATCAGCTGTTTCACAAATCAGCTGGTAGCCAGCTGAGTCAGGGTGCCATCAGCTGCATCACAAATCAACTGGTAGCCAGCTGAGTCAGGGTGTCATCAGCTGTTTCACAAATCAACTGGTAGCCAGCTGAGTCAGGGTGTCATCAGCTGCGTCACAAATCAACTGGTAGCCAGCTGAGTCAGGGTGTCATCAGCTGTTTCACAAATCAACTGGTAGCCAGCTGAGTCAGGGTGTCATCAGCTGCGTCACAAATCAACTGGTCGCCAGCTGAGTCAGGGTGTCATCAGCTGCGTCACAAATCAGCTGATAGCCAGCTGAGTCAGGGTGTCATCAGCTGTTTCACAAATCAGCTGATAGCCAGCTGAGTCAGGGTGTCATCAGCTGTGTCACAAATCAGCTGGTAGCCAGCTGAGTCAGGGTGTCATCAGCTGTTTCACAAATCAGCTGATAGCCAGCTGAGTCAGGGTGCCATCAGCTGAGTCAGGGTGTCATCAGCTGAGTCACAAATCAGCTGATAGCCAGCTGAGTCAGGGTGTCATCAGCTGTGTCACAAATCAGCTGATAGCCAGCTGAGTCAGGGTGCCATCAGCTGCGTCACAAATCAGCTGGTCGCCAGCTGTCACTTTCTGTGTGTGTGTCACTGTCTGTGTGTGTGTGGGGAAGAGTAGGGAGTGGTGGTGCAGCGGTTAGCGCTACGCTGCGCTACGAACTCAGCGTCTCGGGTTTGATTCCTGGCTCACGGCCAACACCACCGGTGAAGATTATTTGAACCGGTTCCTGGGCCTCTCCTAGGTCGACTCAGCCTCAAATGAGTACCTGGTGTAGCGGTGAGTAGTGAACATCGCTAGCACTGGGGAGACAAAGGCGGCCGGGCGTGGTGCTGGCCACCCACCCCCTCGTGTGCCACAGTGCCGGTAGCCTTCACAGGTGCTGCTCGCTAACAGCACTTGCCCCTACAGTCCGTTAGAAGCTACACGGGGGACCTTTGTCTATGTGTCTATAGGTGCTGCTCGCTACTCACAGCACTTGCCCCGACAGCCTGTTAGAGGCTACACGGGAGACCTTTGCCTTGTGTGTGTGTGTTGTCAGTGTCTTTGTGAGTCAGTCTATGAGTCTCTGTATGGGTCTATGGGGTTTCTATAAAGGTTTCTATAAAGGTTTCTATATATGGGTCCGGTTGAGGTTCCATTTTTCAAAACCACCACCATCATTATCACCGTTTACATTGCCATCACCTTGATGGAGATCACCACCATGATCACCGCAATCGTTACCATTATAAACCACAATTACCATCGCAAACTTCACCAACATAATGCCCATCACCACCATCACCACCACCACCACGTGTTTTACAGCACCACTTTATCAAGGGGTAAACATTCAGTGGTGGGTGGATGCATTGTGGACAGACTGTCACCCGCCATGGGAATGTGGAATGCCCACGCGGCACCACACGGCACTACGTGGTGCCACACAGCACCACGTGGCACCGCACGGCACCACGTGGCGCCACACAGCACCACGTGGCACCACACAGCACCACACAGCACCACGTGGCACCACACAGCACCACAGCACCACGTGGCACCACACGGCACCACGTGGCACCACACGGCACCACGTGGCACCACACGGCACCACGTGGCACCGCACAGCACCACGTGGCACCACACAGCACCACGTGGCACCACACAGCACCACGTGGCACCACACAGCACCACGTGGCACCACACAGCACCACGTGGCACCACACAGCACCACGTGGCACCACACGGCTCCACAAGGGGGGGTACGCATGCACGTGTTGTGGGGGGCGAGGGTGGGTGGGTGAGCGTGTGGGTGGCTGAGTCGGTGAGCGTGTGGGTGGGTGGGTGAGCGTGTGGGTGGGCGGGTGGGCGGGCGGGTGGGTGAGCGGGTGGGCGAGCAGGTGGTAGAGTGAGCGAGTGGTTGAGTGAGTGGTTGAGTGAGTGAGTGGTTGAGTGAGTGAGTGGTTGAGTGAGTGAGTGGTTGAGTGAGTGAGTGGTTGAGTGAGTGAGTGGTTGAGTGAGTGAGTGGTTGAGTGAGTGGTTGAGTGAGTGAGTGAGTGGTTGAATGAGTGAGTGGTTGAGTGAGTGAGTGGTTGAATGAGTGAGTGGTTGAGTGAGTGGTTGAGTGAGTGGTTGAGTGAGTGGTTGAGTGAGTGAGTGAGTGGTTGAGTGAGTGAGTGGTTGAGTGAGTGGTTGAGTGAGTGAGTGGTTGAGTGAGTGAGTGGTTGAGTGAGTGGTTGAGTGAGTGAGTGGTTGAGTGAGCGGTTGGTCGACAGGGCCAAGTAGGCCCCCAGCACCCTCCACCACCACCACCCACCACCACCCCCCACCACGCATCACTTGAGCTGTGAGTCAAGCTTGCTCTGGATGTGCTTGAAGGCGTCCACTCCCAGGTAGTCGGCCTGCCCTCTCTCCCACTGCAGCCTCCGCCTGTGCTCCTCCTCCTGCTGCTGCCCCTGCTGCCCCTGCTGCTGCTGCTGCCCCTCGGAGCCGGCGTGGGCAGCCACGGACAGGGACGACAGTGCCCACTGCAGCGACGAAACCTGGGCGCGAGCGTGGAACGGATGGGGATTAGTCCACGCACCGCGGCCTGCGCCCGATCCGTTACCTGGGCACAGCCAGGAGGGGCAGGGGGACTCTGGAACACCCCCACGGGGTAGGGAGCGAGCTGAGCTCACCCGTCCGCGTGTGATCCACCAACCCTCGCCGCTGCCGCTGCCGCCGCCGCTGCCGCTGGCTACACAGCGGAGCCACCGCAACCGCCACAGACAACAAAGACAAAGGTCGCCCGTGTAGCCTCTAGCAGGCTGTAGGGGCAAGTGCTGTTAGTAGCGAGTAGCAGCACCTGTGAAGGCTACCGGCACTGTGGCACACGAGGGGGTGGGTGGCCGGCACCACGCCCGGCCGCCTTTGTCTCCCCAGTGCTAGCGATGTTTACTACACACCGCTACACCAGGTACTCAGTTGAGGCCGAGTCGACCTAGGGTAGGCCCAGGACCGGTTAGGATAATAATCGTCACCGGCGGTGTTGGCCGTGAGCGGGAAACCGAACTGGGGTAACACCTGCGTCCATAGTGCAGCGTAGCGCTGATCATCACCGCCGTCGGAATGGGAATGCTTCTCAAACATAAAACCATAAACTACTTTTTACTTTGCCAGGAGCAAGGACCCGGGGCCTTCAACAAATGATAACAGCTCAACCACGTGGTGGCTTTATCATCATCATCACCACCACCACCACCACCGTGTGGAAATTGATCGCAGCAGCCAAAGACTCTGAAGCGCGTGGTGATGATGTTTGACTCGAAACGTGGAGGGGGAAAACCGGAGGATCCACGCAGCGACCACCACGGGCAGAGAGAGACGCAGACTCCAAATCTACAGCAGCAGCAGCAGCAGGCATCGTCAGGGTAGGGATTGAACCCACGACCTCCTGTGTACCAGGCGAGGTAGTCAACATCTCATAGCCACCGTGATGATGATGAGAGAGAGACGCAGACTCCAAATCTACAGCAGCAGCAGCAGCAGTAGCAGGCATCGTCAGGGTAGGGATTGAACCCACGACCTCCTGTGTACCAGGCGAGGTGATCAACATCTCCTAGCCAGCGTGATGATGATGAGAGAGAGACGCAGACTCCAAATCTACAGCAGCAGCAGTAGCAGGCATCGTCAGGGTAGGGATTGAACCCACGACCTCCTGTGTACCAGGCGAGGTAGTCAACATCTCATAGCCACCGTGATGATGATGAGAGAGAGACGCAGACTCCAAATCTACAGCAGCAGCAGTAGCAGGCATCGTCAGGGTAGGGATTTAACCCACGACCTCCTGTGTACCAGGCGAGGTGGTCAACATCTCATAGCCACCGTGATGATGAGAGAGACACAAACTCCAAATCTACAGCAGCAGCAGTAGCAGGCATCGTCAGGGTAGGGATTTAACCCACGACCTCCTGCCTACCAGGCGAGGTAGTCAACATCTCATAGCCACCGTGATGATGATGAGAGAGAGACACAGACTCCAAATATACAGCAGCAGCAGGCATCGTCAGGGTCGGGATTTAACCCACGACCTCCTGTGTACCAGGCGAGGTAGTCAACATCTCATAGCCAGCAGCACAAACGAAAAGACAGGAGGAAAGAATTAAGCCATGCGCTCACCTCTCCAGCAGCAGAGCCACCACCACCGACACCACCGACACCACCGCCACCACCGCCACCACCGCCACCACCCCCGGCACCACCGCCGGCACCACCACCGGCACCAACCTCTACGCCGGCGGCGGCGGCGGCGTCCGCGGGCAGCGTGGGCAGCACGCTGCCGTGGAACAGCTGCCACCAGCGCTGCAGGAAGTTGGCGTGGTGTGGCAAGTGCTGCTGCTGGGGCTGGGGCTGCTGCTGGGGGTGGGGCTGCTGCGAGAGGTCCGAGGAGGAGGAGGAGGAGGAGGAGGAGGCGACGGTGCCGGATTTGGAGTCGTAGCGGCAGTGCCAGGGTTTCACCGCGCCCAGGAAGTGGACCACCTTGACATCACCGCCGAATCTTGGAAGGGGGTGGAGAGGTGGCGGGGGGAGGGGAGGGGCTGCATTACCCCCACGACCTGATGGTCGACCTGATGGTGGTGATGGTGGTGATGGTGGTGGTGATGGTGGTCGTGATGGTGGTGATGGTGGTGGTGGTCGTGATGGGTGGTCGTGATGGTGGTGGTGATGGTGATGGTCGTGATGGTGGTGGTGGTGGTGGTGATGGTGGTGATGGTCGTGGTGATGGTCGTGGTGATGGTCGTGGTGATGGTCGTGGTGATGGTGATGGTCGTGATGGTCGTGATGGTGATGGTCGTGATGGTGGTGATGGTGGTGATGGTCGTGATGGTGGTGATGGTCGTGATGGTGGTGATGGTGGTGATGGTCGTGATGGTGGTGATGGTGGTGATGGTGGTGATGGTGGTGATGGTGGTGATGGTCGTGATGGTGGTGTGGTGGTGATGGTGGTGGTAGTCGTGATGGTGGTGATGGTGGTGTGGTGGTGATGGTCGTGATGGTCGTGATGGTCGTGATGGTGGTGATGGTGGTGATGGTCGTGGTGGTGGTGGTGGTGATGGTGGTGTGGTGGTGATGGTGGTGTGGTGGTGATGGTGGTGTGGTGGTGATGGTGGTGTGGTGGTGATGGTCGTGATGGTGGTGGTGATGGTCGTGATGGTCGTGATGGTGGTAATGGTCGTGATGGTCGTGATGGTGGTGATGGTGGTGATGGTGGTGTGGTGGTGATGGTGGTGATGGTGGTGTGGTGGTGGTGACGGTGATGGTCGTGATGGTCGTGATGGTGGTGATGGTGGTGATGGTGGTGTGGTGGTGATGGTGGTGTGGTGGTGATGGTCGTGATGGTGGTGGTGATGGTCGTGATGGTGGTGATGGTGATGGTGGTGACGGTGATGGTCGTGATGGTGGTGATGGTCGTGATGGTGGTGGTGGTCGTGATGGTGGTGGTGGTGATGGTGGTGATGGTCGTGATGGTGGTGGTGGTCGTGATGGTGGTGGTGACGGTGATGGTGGTGACGGTGGTGACGGTGGTGGTGGTGATGGTGGTGATGGTGGTGATGGTGGTGATGGTCGTGATGGTGGTGGTGATGATGGTAGTGATGGTGGTGATGGTGATGATGGTAGTGATGGTGGTGATGGTAGTGATGGTGGTGATGATGGTAGTGATGGTGGTGATGGTGGTGGTGATGATGGTAGTGGTGGTAGTGGTGATGATGGTAGTGATGGTGTGGTGGTGATGGTAGTGATGGTAGTGATGGTCGTGATGGTGGTGGTGGTGATGGTGGTGATGGTGGTGTGGTGGTGATGGTCGTGATGGTCGTGATGGTGGTGATGGTCGTGATGGTGGTGTGGTGGTGTGGTGGTGATGGTCGTGATGGTGGTGGTGGTGATGGTCGTGATGGTGGTGATGGTGGTGTGGTGGTGTGGTGGTGGTGACGGTGATGGTCGTGATGGTGGTGGTGATGGTCGTGATGGTGGTGATGGTGGTGATGGTGGTGATGGTGGTGATGGTGGTGGTGACGGTGATGGTCGTGATGGTGGTGATGGTCGTGATGGTGGTGGTGGTCGTGATGGTGGTGGTGGTGATGGTGGTGATGGTCGTGATGGTGGTGGTGGTCGTGATGGTGGTGGTGACGGTGATGGTGGTGATGGTCGTGATGGTGGTGATGGTGGTGATGGTCGTGATGGTGGTCGTGGCTTTGATGGGACCTGCCATCAGTTTGTTAGGGGGTGACCTGTGTGTGTGTGTGTCCGTCTCCATGTGCGTTCGACCCGTGGCACCTGGGTCTGCCCCGTGACCTCCTGCCAGCGGGCGTTCGACACTTCACGTGGCCTCAGGGTGCACATGGCCTGGCACAAGCGTCGTGGTGACGTCACCGCCACTTAGTGGCGAATGGCGGTTGTTGTTGTTGTTGATGTGCGTTCGTGTGTCCGTGTGTGTGCGTGTGTGCACGTGTGTGTGTGCACGTGCGTGTGTGCACGTGTGTGTGTGTGTGCACGTGCGTGTGTGCACGTGTGTGCGTGTGTGTGCGCGTGTGTATGTGTGTGTGTACGTGTGTGTGTACGTGTGTGTGTACGTGTGTGTGTGTGTACGTATGTGTGTACGTATACGTGTGTGTGTGTGTACGTGTGTGTGTGTGTACGTGTGTGTGTGTGTGTGTACGTGTGTACGTGTTTGTACGTGTGTGTGTACGTGTGTGTGTGTACGTGTGTGTGTGTACGTGCGTGTGTACGTGCGTGTGTACGTGCGTGTGTACGTGCGTGTGTACGTGCGTGTACGTGCGTGTACGTGTGTGTGTGTGTACGTGTGTGTGTGTACGTGTGTGTACGTGTGTGTGTACCGTTTGAAGGCCGGCATGTACGAGTACACGGAGGCGATGCTCAGGTTGTAGGTGAAGGGGAGGTGGCGCTCGATGTTCTCCGTGGCCCAGCGGCTAAAGAAGGTGTTCAGCAGACCCTGGTCACCCCCTACACAGACAAAGATCCCCCGTGTAGCCTCACACAGACTCTAGGGGCAAGTGCTGTTCGTAGTAGCGAGTAGCAGCACCTATACACAGACAAAGATCCCCCGTGTAGCCTCACACAGACTCTAGGGGCAAGTGCTGTTCGTAGTAGCGAGTAGCAGCACCTATACACAGACAAAGATCCCCCGTGTAGCCTCACACAGACTCTAGGGGCAAGTGCTGTTATTAGTAGTGAGTAGCAGCACCTATACACAGACAAAGATCCCCCGTGTAGCCTCACACAGACTCTAGGGGCAAGTGCTGTTCGTAGTAACGAGTAGCAGCACCTATACACAGACAAAGATCCCCCGTGTAGCCTCACACAGACTCTAGGGGCAAGTGCTGTTCGTAGTAGCGAGTAGCAGCACCTATACACAGACAAAGATGCCCGGTGTAGCCTCACACACTCTAGGGGCAAGTGCTGTTCATAGTAGCGAGTAGCAGCACCTATACACAGACAAAGATCCCCCGTGTAGCCTCACACAGACTCTAGGGGCAAGTGCTGTTCATAGTAGCGAGTAGCAGCACCTATACACAGACAAAGATACCCCGTGTAGACTCACACAGACTCTAGGGGCAAGTGCTGTTCATAGTAGCGAGTAGCAGCACCTATACACAGACAAAGATCCCCCGTGTAGCCTCACACAGACTCTAGGGGCAAGTGCTGTTCATAGTAGCGAGTAGCAGCACCTATACACAGACAAAGATCCCCCGTGTAGCCTCACACAGACTCTAGGGGCAAGTGCTGTTCATAGTAGCGAGTAGCAGCACCAATACACAGACAAAGATCCCCCGTGTAGCCTCACACAGACTCTAGGGGCAAGTGCTGTTCGTAGTAGCGAGTAGCAGCACCTATACACAGACAAAGATCCCCCGTGTAGCCTCACACAGACTCTAGGGGCAAGTGCTGTTCATAGTAGCGAGTAGCAGCACCTATACACAGACAAAGATGCCCCGTGTAGCCTCACACAGACTCTAGGGGCAAGTGCTGTTCATAGTAGCGAGTAGCAGCACCTATACACAGACAAAGATCCCCCGTGTAGCCTCACACAGACTCTAGGGGCAAGTGCTGTTCATAGTAGCGAGTAGCAGCACCTATACACAGACAAAGATCCCCCGTATAGCCTCACACAGACTCTAGGGGCAAGTGCTGTTCGTAGTAGCGAGTAGCAGCACCTATACACAGACAAAGATCCCCCGTATAGCCTCACACAGACTCTAGGGGCAAGTGCTGTTCATAGTAGCGAGTAGCAGCACCTATACACAGACAAAGATCCCCCGTGTAGCCTCTAACAGGCTGTAGGGGCAAGTGCTGTTCATAGTAGCGAGTAGCAGCACCTGTACACAGACAAAGATCCCCCGTGTAGCCTCTAACAGGGCTGTAGGGGCAAGTGCTTTTAGCGAGCAGCAGCTGTGAAGGCTACCGGCACTGTGGCACACGAGGGGGTGGGTGGCCAGCACCACGCCCGGCCGCCTTTGTCTCCCCAGTAGCGATGTTTACTACACACAGCACCAGGTACTCAGTTTAGGCTGAGTCGACCTAGGGGAGGCTCAGAACCGGCTCATTTAATCGTCACCGGCGGTGTTGGTGGCCGTGAGCGGGAATCGAACTCGGGACATAGCCGGGTTCATAGCGCAGCGTAGCGCTAACCGCTGCACCACCACTCCCCACACCACCACCATCACCACCACCATCACCACCATCACCACCACCGTCATCAACCACCACCACACTGAGTGACTGAGTGGGCAGGCAAGTGAGCGAGCTGGTAAGTGAGTGGGTGAGCTGGTGAGTGAGCTGGTGAGGGAGTAGGTGAGTGAGTGGGTGAGCTGGTGAGTGAGCTGGTGAGCTGGTGAGCGAGCTGGTGAGTGAGCGGGTGAGTGAGCGTGTGAGTGAGCGTGTGAGCGTGTGAGCTGGTGAGTGAGCGGGTGAGTGAGTGGGTGAGCTGGTGAGTGAGCTGGTGAGTGAGCTGGTGAGTGAGCTGGTGAGTGAGCTGGTGAGTGAGCTGGTGAGTGAGCTGGTGAGTGAGTGGGTGAGCTGGTGAGTGAGCTGGTGAGTGACTCACCATCGAAGCTGCCGGTGGAGCGAGCGAGCTCCACCAGCTGAGTGTACGTGTCCAGCTGGTGAGCTGGTGAGTGAGCTGGTGAGTGAGCTGGTGAGTGAGCTGGTGAGTGAGCTGGTGAGTGAGTGAGCTGGTGAGTGACTCACCATCGAAGCTGCCTATGGAGCGAGCCATCTCCAGCAGCTGGCTGTACGTGTCCAGCTGGTGAGTGAGCTGGTGAGTGAGCTGGTGAGTGAGCTGGTGAGTGAGTGAGTGAGCTGGTGAGTGAGCTGGTGAGTGAGCTGGTGAGTGAGCTGGTGAGTGAGTGAGTGAGCTGGTGAGTGAGCTGGTGAGTGAGCTGGTGAGCTGGTGAGTGACTCACCATCGAAGCTGCCGGTGGAGCGAGCGAGCTCCACCAGCTGAGTGTACGTGTCCAGCTGGTGAGCTGGTGAATGAGCTGGTGAGTGAGCTGGTGAGTGAGCTGGTGAGCGAGCTGGTGAGTGACTCACCATCGAAGCTGCCTATGGAGCGAGCCATCTCCAGCAGCTGGCTGTACGTGTCCAGCTGGTGAGTGAGCTGGTGAGTGAGCTGGTGAGTGAGTGAGTGAGCTGGTGAGTGAGCTGGTGAGTGAGCTGGTGAGTGAGCTGGTGAGTGAGCTGGTGAGCGAGCTGGTGAGCTGGTGAGCTGGTGAGCGACTCACCATCGAAGCTGCCTGTGGAGCGAGCCATCTCCAGCAGCTGGCTGTACGTGTCCAGCTGGTGAGTGAGCTGGTGAGTGAGTGGGTGAGCTGGTGAGTGAGCTGGTGAGTGAGCTGGTGAGTAAGCTGGTGAGCTACTCACCATCGAAGCTGCCTGTGGAGCGAGCGAGCTCCAGCAGCTGGCTGTACGTGTCCAGCTGGTGAGTGAGCTGGTGAGTGAGCTGGTGAGTGAGCTGGTGAGCGAGCTGGTGCGTGAGCTGGTGAGTGAGCTGGTGAGTGAGCTGGTGAGTGAGCTGGTGAGCGAGCTGGTGAGCTGGTGAGCTGGTGAGCGACTCACCATCGAAGCTGCCTGTGGAGCGAGCCATCTCCAGCAGCTGGCTGTACGTGTCCAGCTGGTGAGTGAGCTGGTGAGTGAGTGGGTGAGCTGGTGAGTGAGCTGGTGAGTGAGCTGGTGAGTAAGCTGGTGAGCTACTCACCATCGAAGCTGCCTGTGGAGCGAGCGAGCTCCAGCAGCTGGCTGTACGTGTCCAGCTGGTGAGTGAGCTGGTGAGTGAGCTGGTGAGTGAGCTGGTGAGTGAGCTGGTGAGTGAGCTGGTAAGTGAGTGACTCACCATCGAAGCTGCCTGTGGAGCGAGCCATCTCCAGCAGCTGGCTGTACGTGTCCAGCTGGTGAGTGAGCTGGTGAGTGAGCTGGTGAGTGAGCTGGTGAGTGAGCTGGTGAGTGAGCTGGTGAGTGAGCTGGTGAGTGAGCTACTCACCATCGAAGCTGCCTGTGGAGCGAGCCATCTCCAGCAGCTGGCTGTAGGTGTCCAGCGACGGGCGGAACACAAAGAGTCCAGAGTTGAAGCAGTCCGGCCAGCCGGGGTCGGGAGCCGCTGACAGCTCCTCCCTGTCAAAGAGGTCGTCCAATGGGGCGACGGCCTGGAGACACGGGGGGGGGGGGGGGGGGGACACGGGGGGGGGGGGGGGACACGGGGGGGGGGGGGGGGACACACAGAGACAGACAGAGACACAGAGACACACACAGACAGACAGAGACACACGGAGACACACGGAGACACAAAGAGAAACACAGAGACACAGAGAGACACACAGAGACACACAGAGACACACAGAGACAGACAGAGACACAGAGAGACACACAGAGACACACAGAGACAGACAGAGACACAGAGAGACACACAGAGACACACAGAGACACACAGAGACACACAGAGACAGAGACACACAGAGACAGACAGAGACACACAGAGACACAGAGACACATAGAGACACAGAGACAGACAGAGACACACAGAGACAGACAGAGACACAGAGAGACAGACAGAGACACAGAGACACACAGAGACACACAGAGATACGCAGAGACACACGGACACAGAGACACACAGAGACACAAAGAGACACACAGAGACACGGAGACACAAAGAGACACAGAGACACACGGAGACACAGACACACGGAGACACACGGAGACACAAAGAGACACAGAGACACACAGAGACACACAGAGACACAAGAGACACAGAGACACAGAGACACACAGAGACACGGAGACACACAGAGACACGGAGACACACAGAGACACACGGAGACACAAAGAGACACACGGAGACACAAAGAGACACACAGAGACACACGGAGACACAGAGACACAGAGACACACAGAGACACACGGAGACACACTGTCACAAGGGGGTTCTCTGTGTGACGAGTCTATGGCTAAGGCTCCCCCCACAGGGTTCAGTGTTAATCACTGTGGGGGGCTCCCCACAGGGTTCAGTGTTAACCACTGTGGGGGGCTCCCCCACAGGGTTCAGTGTTAATCACTGGGGGGGGCTCTCTGCCCCCCACAGGGTTCAGTGTTAACCACTGTGGGGGACTCCCCACAGGGTTCAGTGTTAATCACTGGGGGGCTCCCCCCACAGGGTTCAGTGTTAATCACTGGGGGGGGGCTCTCTGCCCCCCACAGGGTTCAGTGTTAACCACTGTGGGGGGCTCCCCCACAGGGTTCAGTGTTAACCACTGTGGGGGGCTCCCCCACAGGGTTCAGTGTTAACCACTGTGGGGGGCTCCCCCCAAAGGGTTCAGTGTTAACCACTGTGGGGGGCTCCCCCACAGGGTTCAGTGTTAATCACTGTGGGGGGCTCCCCCACAGGGTTCAGTGTTAATCACTGGGGGGCTCCCCCACAGGGTTCAGTGTTAACCACTGTGGGGGGCTCCCCCCAAAGGGTTCAGTGTTAACCACTGTGGGGGGCTCCCCCACAGGGTTCAGTGTTAATCACTGTGGGGGGCTCCCCCACAGGGTTCAGTGTTAATCACTGGGGGGCTCCCTCACAGGGTTCAGTGTTAACCACTGTGGGGAGCTCTCTGCCCCCCACAGGGTTCAGTGTTAACCACTGTGGGGGGCTCTGTGCCCCCCACGCTCACCATGGTGTCTGCGTCCATGAACACGGCCTTGCTGTACTGGGTGAGCGTCCAGCAGTGAATCTTGGTGAGGGTCACCCCCAGCTCAGGGCGCTGCATCAGAGAGAGGTGGGCAGAGTCCCCAGACTCCATCACGTCCACCTCCTGCACCAGGTCAAAGGTCACGCGCAGCGCCGACCTGGGGGGAGGGGGGGTGAGAGGGGGGGGTGAGAGGGGGGGTGAGAGGGGGGGGTGGGAGGGGGGGTGAGAGGGGGGGTGAGAGGGGGGGTGAGAGGGGGGGTGAGAGGGGGGGTGAGAGGGGGGGTGAGAGGGGGGGGTGAGAGTAGGGGCAAGTGCTGTGAGTAGCGAGCAGCACCTACAGACCCACAGACAATCACCACTCACTCACCCACACACCCACCCGCACCACTCACACACTCACCCACACACTCACTCACACACCCACCCACACACACGCTCACCCAGACGCTCACCCACACACTCACTCACCCACACACTCACCCACACTCACTCACCCACACACTCACCCCCCTACCTGTAGGCTGGTGAGACGTGTGGGGTGACTAGGATGGCGAGTTGACGCGTGGTGCCCTGCTGGTGCAGGGAGTGTGCCAGCACCAGGTCCACTCACCCACACACTCACCCACACACTCACCCACACACACACCCACCCACACACACACCCACCCACACACACACCCACCCACACACTCACCCACACACTCACCCACACACTCACACACCCACTCACCCACACACTCACCCCCCTACCTGTAGGCTGGTGAGACGTGTGGGGTGACTAGGATGGCGAGTTGACGCGTGGTGCCCTGCTGGTGCAGGGAGTGTGCCAGCACCAGGTCCACTCACCCACACACTCACCCACACACTCACCCACACACACACCCACCCACACACACACCCACCCACACACACACCCACCCACACACTCACCCACACACTCACCCACACACTCACACACCCACTCACCCACACACTCACCCCCCTACCTGTAGGCTGGTGAGACGTGTGGGGTGACTAGGATGGCGAGTTGACGCGTGGTGCCCTGCTGGTGCAGGGAGTGTGCCAGCACCAGCGCCCCCTTGGCGTAGGAGTCGTTGGTCGCCAGCGTCACAAACGCCTCGTCTGCGGGGGGTCAACAAAGGGTCAACAAAGGGTCAACAAAGGGTCAACAAAGGGTCAACAAAGGGTCAACAAAGGGTCAACAAAGGGTCAACAAAGGGTCAACAAAGGGTCAACAAAAGTCCAATAGGTTAACAGGTCCACAATCTGTGAATAGATCAACGGGTCAACACCTGGTCAGCAGGTCACCTGCAGGTCAGCAGGTGACCTCCTGACCTGCAGGTGACCTGCAGGTCAGCAGGTGACTCAGCTCCCTGGAGCCGGTGGTCGAGACAAGGCTGGGCCGCCAGTGGGGGGTGGGGGTCACGTGACTCCACTCACTCACCCACTCACTCACTCACTCCTCACTCACCCACTCACTCACTCACTCCTTAACCCCTCCTCACCCACTCACTCCTCACCCACTCACTCCTCACCCACCCACTCCTCACCCACCCACTCCTCACCCACCCACTCCTCACTCACCCACTCACTCCTCACCCACTCACTCCTCACTCACTCCCTCACCCACTCACTCCCTCCTCACCCACTCCCTCACGACAGCCGCCATTCGCCACTAAGTGATGATGACATCACCACGGCGTTTGTGCCAGGCTAGGTGCACCACGTGAAGTGTCAAAGGCTCTCTGCTGGCAGGAGGAGGTCACGGGACAGACCCTGCAGGTGCCATGGGCTGGCCAACCGAGCTGACCGGTAGATTCACCACCAGCTGTGCCCCCCTACTGTGCCAGGCTAGGTGCAGGAGGTCACGGGACAGACCCTGCAGGTGCCATGGGTTGACCGACTGAGTTGACCACTGGTAGATGCACACACACCAGCTGATACCCCCCTACTGTGCCAGGCTAGGTGCAGGAGGTCACGGGACAGACCCTGCAGGTGCCATGGGTTGACCGACTGAGATGACCGGTAGATTCACCACCAGCTGTACCCCCCCCTACTGCACGCACACAGACTCACGCACGTGACAAAGATCTCCCGTACAGCCTTCACGTACTGCTGGAGCAAGTGCTGTTAGCGAGCACCTACAGACGGCACACACGTGACAGAGATCTCCCGTACAGCCCTCACGTACTGTTGGAGCAAGTGCTGTTAGCGAGCACCTACAGACGGCACGTGACACAGATCTCCCGTACAGCCCTCACGGACTGTTGGAGCAAGTGCTGTTAGCGAGCACCTACAGACGGCACGTGACACAGATCTCCCGTACAGCCCTCACGGACTGTTGGAGCAAGTGCTGTTAGCGAGCACCTACAGACGGCACGTGACACAGATCTCCCGTACAGCCCTCACGGACTGTTCGAGCAAGTGCTGTTAGCGAGCACCTAGACGGCACGTGACACAGATCTCCCGTACAGCCCTCACGGACTGTTGGAGCAAGTGCTGTTAGCGAGCACCTACAGACGGCACGTGACACAGATCTCCCGTACAGCCCTCACGGACTGTTCGAGCAAGTGCTGTTAGCGAGCACCTACAGACGGCATGTGACACAGATCTCCCGTACAGCCCTCACGTACTGTTGGAGCAAGTGCTGTTAGCGAGCACCTACAGACGGCAAGCACGTGACAGAGATCTCCGTACAGCCTTCACGGACTGTTGGAGCAAGCGCTGTTAGCGAGCACCTACAGACGGCACGTGACACAGCTCTCCCGTACAGCCTTCACGGACTGTTGGAGCAAGTGCTGTTAGCGAGCACCTACAGACGGCCTGCACCGCGCCCGCCCGGCCACCTTTGTCTCCCCAGGGCTTGGCGATGTTTACCGCGAAGCAGCGCACCAGGTACCCAGGGCAAGCCCCCAGGAGTGGGGATCAAACTCGGCTCTCTGCCGGGCTCGTAGCCACCGCCGCCGCCGCCACGTGGGAATTCCACATTCCCGTGCCGGGAGCCCGGCACCGTCCCGGGTTGCTCACCTGCGGCGGGCGGCATTATGCAGGCGGCGGTGGCGCAGTAGGAGAGCAGCGTGGAGAGAGGCTGCTTAGCGAGGGGTGGCAGCAAGCCCATCGCTCCTATTAGTGACCCACCAACCCCCTTGATGATTACGCAACCAGTCATGAGCAACCCCCCCAACTCACTCAGTGACCCACCAACCCCCCACTCACTCAGTGACCCACCAACTCACTCAGTGACCCACCAACTCACTCAGTGACCCACCAACTCACTCAGTGACCCACTAACCCCCTTGATTATTACGCAACCAGTCATGAGCAACCCCCCCCAACTCACTCAGTGACCCACCAACTCACTCAGTGACCCACCAACCCCCCACTCACTCAGTGACCCACCAACTCACTCAGTGACCCACCAACTTACTCAGTGACCCACCAACTCACTCAGTGACCCACCAACCCCCCACTCACTCAGTGACCCACCAACTCACTCAGTGACCCACCAACTCACTCAGTGACCCACCAACTCACTCAGTGACCCACCAACTCACTCAGTGACCCACCAACCCTATTGCAACAATCATATACGCAAATCGTAATAGGCAAACCCCTATGGGATATAACACCAATCCTATTAGCGACACCCTATTGCCAAATCCTACAAAGACACCAACAGAAATCCTATTAGCGACACCTTATTGCAACAATCCTATAAACAAAGACACCAACAGAAATCCTATTAGCGACACCCTATTGCAACAATCCTACAAGCAAAGACACCAACAGAAATCCTATTAGCGACACATTATTGCAACAATCATCGTCGCAGCATTTAAGATGACACAGCCACCATCACCATCACCACGACCCCCCATCACCATCACAAGACACAGACAAAGGTCCCCCGTATAGCCTTCAACAGGCTGCTGCTATTGCTGGGGGCGGGTGGGCCAAGTTCTTCTCCCGACAGCACGCTGGGTCAACATTTACGATTATATTATTGTTTAAAAAAAAACCTGTTATAATTTGTGTTCGTGTAGCAGTTTTATAATTATTATATTTTATATACACAGAGAGAGCGAGAGACAGAGCCAAGCAGCACACCACGTGGGTTAATGTGGACCCGCAATGCAGAGGCGATGGGAGATACCAAATGCAAGTGGATGCCGTGGGGGGTATTTCTGGACCGTACCAACTCGCACAACAACATTCAGCACCCAACGCGGCGTAGAGCGGCTAACTAAAACTATTAGCACCGTCTGACCATGTGTTCAGGCAGTCCCGCTGAGCTTGTCAACTCGTTTGTGTTCAAGAGCGACCCACTGGCCATCACCAGTGAGAGCAAACTCAACCACGTGGAAGCTTCGCGTGGCCTAGCAGCAAAACACTCTCAACGCGCGATTCTACAGACTCATAGAGACCTATAGAGACGCACAGAGACCCATAGAGACCCACAGAGACCCACAGAGACCCACAGAGACCCATACTGACCCACAGAGACCCATACTGACCCACAGAGACCCACAGAAACCCATACTGACCCAGAGACCCACAGAGACCCATACTGACCCACAGAGACCCATACTGACCCACAGAGACCCACAGACCCATACCGACCCACAGAGACCCATAGAGACCCACAGAGACTCATACAGAGACCCAGAGAGACCCATATAGACCCAGAGAACCATACAGACTCACAGAGACCCACAAACCCATAGAGACCCATAGAAACCCAGAGACCCACAGAGACCCACAGAGAACCATACAGACCCACAGAGACCCACACAGACACACAGATACCCACATAAACCCACAGAGACCCACATAAACCCACAGAGACCCACATAAACCCACAGAGACCCACACTACTTGTCAGAAGCGACCTGCCCAACATAAATGATAGCTCAGCACAGTAGCCGACATCGTCATCACCACGTGGACATTCAGAGCAGCAGCCAAAGACACCCGAGACGTTTGGTGATGTCGACTTGAAATGTGGAGGGAAAAAACCCGGCGGACTCCCAAATACACAGCAGCAGCAGCAGCGGGCATCGTCAGGGTCGGGATCGAACCCACGACCTCCTGCGTACCAGGCGAGGTAGTCAACATCTCTTAGTCACCGTGATGATGATGAGAGAGAGAGAGAGACGCAGACTCCAAATCTACAGCAGCAGCAGCAGGCGTCGTCAGGGTCGGGATCGAACCCACGATCTCCTGCGTACCAGGCGAGGTAGTCAACATCTCTTAGTCACCATGATGATGATGAGAGAGAGAGAGAGAGACGCAGACTCCAAATCTACAGCAGCAGCAGCAGGCGTCGTCAGGGTCGGGATCGAACCCAGGACCTCCTGCGTACCAGGCGAGGTAGTCAACATCTCTTAGTCACCGTGATGATGAGAGAGAGAGACGCAGACTCCAAATATACAGCAGCAGGCATTGTCAGGGTCGGGATCGAACCCAGGACCTCCTGCGTACCAGGCAAGGTCGTCAACATCTTAGCCACCGCAAGCTCACAGTCTAAATGAGGCTCTTGAGCAAATGGGAGACTATTCACGGCTGCTATCGAGTAACGGGCGGGCGTGGGCAACTCCCCTTCGCAGAAGACGCAATGGCAAGAACAGCCAAAAATAACCACGTGTGGTAACCCACGTGCATCGTACACACAGCACTGTCACGTGGTAACCCACGTGCATCGTACACACAGCACTCTCACTGTCACGTGGTAACCCACGTCCATCATACACACATCACTGTCACGTGGTAACCCACGTGCATCATACACACAGCACTGTCACGTGGTAACCCACGTGCATCGTACACACAGCACTGTCACGTGGTAACCCACGTGCATCGTACACACAGCACTCTCACTGTCACGTGGTAACCCACGTCCATCGTACACACAGCACTCTCTCTGTCACGTGGTAACCCACGTCCATCATACACACAGCACTGTCACGTGGTAACCCACGTGCATCGTACACACAGCACTCTCACTGTCACGTGGTAACCCACGTCCATCATACACACAGCACTCTCTCTGTCACGTGGTAACCCACGTCCATCATACACACATCACTGTCACGTGGTAACCCACGTCCATCGTACACACAGCACTCTCTCTGTCACGTGGTAACCCACGTGCATCGTACACTCAGCACTGTCACGTGGTAACCCACGTGCATCGTACACACAGCACTCACTGTCACGTGGTAACCCACGTGCATCGTACACACATCACTCACTCTTTCACGTGGTAACCCACGTGCATCGTACACACAGCACTGTCACGTGGTAACCCACGTGCATCGTACACACAGCACTCTCACTGTCACGTGGTAACCCACGTCCATCGTACACACATCACTCCCACTGTCACGTGGTAACCCACGTCCATCGTACACACATCACTCTGTCACGTGGTAACCCACGTGCATCGTACACACAGCACTCACTCTGTCACGTGGTAACCCACGTCCATCATACACACAGCACTGTCACGTGGTAACCCACGTGCATCGGAACACACAGCACTCACTGTCACGTGGTAACCCACGTGCATCGTACACACAGCACTCACTGTCACGTGGTAATCCACGTCCATCATACACACAGCACTCACTCTGTCACGTGGTAACCCACGTCACTCTGTCACGTGGTAACCCACGTCCATCGTACACACAGCACTCTCTCTGTCACGTGGTAACCCACGTCCATCATACACACATCACTGTCACGTGGTAACCCACGTGCATCGTACATACAGCACTCTCACTGTCACGTGGTAACCCACGTCCATCATACACACAGCACTGTCACGTGGTAACCCACGTGCATCGTACACACAGCACTCTCACTGTCACGTGGTAACCCACGTGCATCGTACACACATCACTCTCACTGTCACGTGGTAACCCACGTCCATCGTACACACATCACTCTCACTGTCACGTGGTAACCCACGTCCATCGTACACACAGCACTCTCTCTGTCACGTGGTAACCCACGTGCATCGTACACACAGCACTGTCACGTGGTAACCCACGTGCATCGTACACACAGCACTCTGTCACGTGGTAACCCACGTGCATCGTACACACATCACTCACTCTTTCACGTGGTAACCCACGTGCATCGTACACACAGCACTGTCACGTGGTAACCCACGTCACTCTGTCACGTGGTAACCCACGTACATCGTACACACAGCACTCTCACTGTCACGTGGTAACCCACGTCCATCGTACACACAGCACTGTCACGTGGTAACCCACGTCCATCGTACACACAGCACTCTCACTGTCACGTGGTAACCCACGTCCATCGTACACACAGCACTGTCACGTGGTAACCCACGTCACTCTGTCACGTGGTAACCCACTTCACTCCGTCACGTGGTAACACACAGCACGCTCTCTCTGCCACGAGAGGGAACGATTCTGAGGTCCCAGGAGGGGGAGGAGGAGGCACCACAGACGAGGAGAGGGAAGGAGGCAGCAGCAGCAGCAGTAGTAGTAGCAGTAGCAGCAGTAGTAGTAGCAGTAGCAGCAATAGCAGCAGCAGTAGTAGCAGCAGTAGTAGCAGCAGCAGTAGTAGCAGCAGTAGTAGCAGCAGTAGTAGCAGCAGCAGTAGTAGCAGCAGTAGTAGTAGCAGCAGCAGTAGTAGCAGCAGCAGTAGTAGCAGCAGTAGTAGTAGCAGCAGCAGTAGTAGCAGCAGCAGTAGTAGTAGCAGTAGTAGTAGCAGCAGCAGTAGTAGCAGCAGTAGTAGTAGCAGCAGCAGTAGTAGCAGCAGTAGTAGTAGCAGCAGCAGTAGTAGTAGCAGCAGCAGTAGTAGCAACAGCAACAGCAGCAGCAGCAGTAGTAGTAGCAGCAGTAGTAGCAGCAGCAGCAGCAGCAGCAGCAGTAGCAGTAGCAGCAGTAGCAGCAGTAGTAGTAGCAGCAGCAGTAGTAGCAGCAGCAGCAGCAGTAGTAGCAGCAGCAGCAGTAGCAGCAGCAGCAGCAGCAGCAGCAGTAGTAGCAGCAGCAGTAGTAGCAGTAGCAGCAGCAGTAGTAGCAGTAGCAGCAGCAGTACCAGTAGCAGCAGTAGCAGCAGTAGTAGTAGCAGCAGTAGTAGCAACAGCAGCAGTAGCAGTAGTAGCAGTAGTAGTAGCAGCAGCAGTAGCAGCAGCAGTAGCAGCAGCAGTAGTAGCAGCAGCAGTAGCAGCAGTAGTAGCAGTAGCAGCAGAAGTAGTAGTAGCAGTAGTAGCAGTAGCAGCAGCAGTAGTAGCAGCAGCAGTAGCAGCAGTACCAGTAGCAGCAGTGGCAACAGCAGGAGCAGCAGCAGGGGCAGCAACAGCAGCAGCAGGGGC